CGAGTGCCGTTCGGCATCGGTATCACGAGATCGAGGTCTATCGGGACTAACACTGCTGCGTCCGCGTTTCAAATGCGGCGGTCCAGGTCTGGAAGTGGCGGGTTCGGAAGGATCGGGGCGCGTCTTGGTATTCTCGTCTCTCCCCGACATGGACTCGGATGGAGGTACACTAGGAACTCTCCTTTCACGGTCTGGGGGCCGTCCAGCAATTAGCCGTCTCCTCTTGGGCGCCTCATCGCCACGAGTAGATTCACCGTCCCTCGCAGAAGATCCCTTGAACCGAGCCGGCTCCGAACGCGACGCGTCCTGGTCACCGGCTCCAACATGGGCAACCTTCGGGCGAGATACGCTGGACTTTTCCTTTCCATGAGTCATAGCTTCCCTCCTGCGCTCCTTCGAAATTGTATCCTTGGACGAATCCCGGCGGCCAGGGCTCGCCATTGCTTTCCTAGGCCGACCTCCCGGAGACGGTAATTCTCTGCGACCGGTTCGCTTGCCTTCCTTCTCCCTATCACGCACTCGCCGTGGTGATGAGAATTCGGCTTTGCGCTGCTTCTTCGTCCGGATATAGTCGTCGTATGCATCACGCAGAAGATCATATTCTTCCTCCCAGTTATCAGGATTGCGCTCCCGAGACAATTCGAAGTAGGTACGGTCCTTGTGCAGACGACGAGTCGGATTGAAACTTGGTTGAGCAAGGAGCAGTTTGATGACGGGAAGGTTGCCTCGGCCAATCGCTGCCAACATAGGGGTGTTGTATCCCGGCTTTTGAGAGGCGCCCGATACGGGATCAGGATCAGGATCCGCATCGCCCATGCCAAGTAATAGGGATAGCACTTCATCGTGACCACCCTTGGCTGCGGCGATCATAGACTCAGGATCCGCTCTTTGCCCGACATTGAGAATGTTGGCAACTCCAGCGATATCGCCCTTGGCAGCGAATGCTTGTAAATTCTCTGGTGTAGCCTTGGTCCACAGCAGGTCATTCCGAGTAGCCTCGCTCCTGACACTTTTCCGCTTGCTCGTGATACCAGCATAAGGCGGACTTCGCTGTCCACTGACCGGTGGCGATTCACGTGGACTATTAATCGCAACCCGACGGGAAGATGTTTCCCTATTCCCAGAACCAGTTTGCTCTTCTGAGCGACGACTCGGGCGTGGGTTCGCCTTTGCTTCCTCGATAACACGCCGGATCTCGTCGTAGTCCTCCGAGTCTGAGGGGATCAAATCACTGGGCTCATCGCCTTCAGCATTGACTGCGCGGGGATTTGCACCGGCCTGAAGCAAAAGCTTGACGACATCAAGATGCCCGTTTTCGACAGCATCTATCAACGGCGTATCCCTGTCGATATTCCTGGTCTCTACCTCACAGCCAGCGTCCAGCAAAAACTTAACAATGGACGCACAACCTTCCAGAGCGGCGATTTGTAGTGGCGTATTGCCCGCATTGTCGGCCACATTGAGATCCTCTGGTCGTTCAGCATGTCGAGCCATGGCTACTTCCAACTCCTGGGCGGCACAGGCACGTGCAAGTCGCGTCCGGCCATTTTGGTCGCGCTGTTTCTTGTGCCCCATAGGCCTTGCGGGAGACGCCGACGCACCATCCACAGATGCAACCTTCCGTACATAGGCACTGGGCAATGGAGACCCGCTAGTAGATGAGGAGACGGACTGTCTGTCTTCGGAACTCTGCCTTGGCACCCCAGAGATGAGCGGGGTAGGTGCCTTCCTCTTTCGTTGCAGATCGCTGCTGAGCTGAGGGCCGGATGCTGTCCGCTTGTGAGAACGAACTGGTGAGACGGATCGATCGTTCGGTGTCGGGCGAGGTAGAGAAATCCCGTTCAAATCTCGTCGCTCCCGGTCGCGGGGGGCTGCCGAGTGATGTTGACGTGCATTTCGACGAGCATCCGCCTCCCCGTCGACACTCTCGCTGAAGCTGCGCTTCCTTGATGTTCTGGGTGCGGATGTGATCGGATGGGACGATTCGACTCGACTGGGGACCGTCTGGGGTTCCTCGGTCTTCTCTATCTTGACTATGGGGGCAGGTGGCGAGCCAGCCCTCCGCTGAGGGCTAGCCGGGCGCACCGGACGGTCGCGTTCACTGGGCACATCATCATCATCGTCCGCCGACTTCCGCTTTCTCACTTGCAAATCATTAGGAGGAAGATCGCTCTCAGCGGCATCAGCATGGTCATTTGCATCATCACGTCGTTTCGGTTCATGTTTTATGAACTTCCGTCTCTTCTCAGGCGACAGAGATTCACGGCCCGATTGGATTATGGTTTCTGCCTCCGAGTCAGCCTTGGGGCTCGGTGGCCCATCGCCGTCCCCGACAGCAGGATCTACCTCTTTAGCGGGAGCATCCACTTCCTGAGCAACCGGGGGAGTGGTCCTCTTGGAAGGCGGGTGACCCAAGGTAGACTGGTGGTTCACCTTGACAGCAAAAGCGCTTTGTCCGGCATCCAGGGAAGCTGGCAGGGAGGAGACAGCCTCAACATCACTCATAGCGGTAGCACTCGATTTCTGGGGGTTCTGCTCGTCATTTTCGGGGGCCGTGGCGGACTTGAAGACCCGTGGTCAGATACACCAGCAGTTGCGCGCGGAAGCTGGTGCTCGACCACGCTAGACGTAGATAAGTAGTGACAGCTTATTCCTTTCACCGGACGAGAGGAAAGGTCAGGGCGGTAGTGAGCGAGAGCGAGAGAAGGGTGAAGAGGCGGATTGAAGAGTGGCGAGAGGGGACAGAGGAGGGTGTAAAGGTGGGTGGTGAAGTCAAGAGAGAAAGTAGCGACAGGATAGCAAGTAGTAGGGAATTCGGTCGGGAGGTGTAAGAGGAATAGAAGAGGTAATTAATCGGACCAAATGAAGGAGGAGGGGGAGGGAGGGGAGGAAGAAGAGGGGAAGAAAATAAGAGTCAAGGAACTAAGCGGAGGGTTTGGATGGAGAGTTGAAGGGGGGTGGGAAAGAAGTTAAAGTCGAGAGGACAGAAATAGTGGAAAGAAAGAAAAAGATGAAAGAAGATGGGAGAAGTTGAAACGGCCGACGGGCACTGGGATGGGCGAAATTACCAGGTAATGGCGGTCCCGTAGTGGAAGTTGGTAGCAGGACCAGGGCGGTAGGAGTAGTTCGCCGTCCGTGAAGTTAGTTGGGTCTTAGTGGGTGGTTAGTGAAGATTTCTGGAGGATCCGGAGGGCGAACTAGCAACAGAGGAAAAAGGGTAAAATAAAAAAAGGATTCGAAATAATCAGAAATTGTTATGGAAATAATTGTGACTTGAAAGAAAGAAAAACTTAAAGAAATAAGAATACGAATAAGAAAATAATATGGGATTAAATGACAACAACGGCAGCAGCAGCAGCGGCAGTGACAGTTAGACAACAACAATAACAACAGCTTGACAGCATAATCATAATAATGATGATAACAGTAATAATAGTAGTAGTCACTTAGTGCTCCCGTAGTTACTGGACTAATCACGCACTGGGGTGGAAAAGACCCCGAGGGATGAATGATGATTGCTAGGAGTCATCCGCCGCCGCAGCCAGCAGCAGCAGCAAGCAAGCAGAAGAAATCAATCGATCGTTAATTAGTTCATCGTTCGAGTCGTCATGGTCATAGTGGTCATTGTGGTCATAGTATTCGCCCCGGGAAACTTACCACCGGGGGGGCCTTGCCATTTGGCCACCAGCGGAGCGAATGCCTTTCGCTAGTTGGTTAGTCATGGATAGTCAGTCCCCCAGTCTGACCAAGTACGGTACAGAAAATCAGGGTATTGAAATCATTTCGCGAAATTGAGGGGTCGCCTGCTGTTCATGCTGTTGCTGCTTCATGCTGCTACTGTGGCCTATGGAAAGTGTGGATTAAATTGATAAATCGATCAATAGATAGCTGGGGATGTGACAATTCGTGACCCGCCAAGTGAAGGACTTACGTTTGTTCCAACATCATGAAACGGTAAGTGATAGGCAGAGTCAGGGAGCAGTACTCCCGTAGAGGGCCGGTTAACGTCGATTATTACAACATTGCCGTTTCCGCAAGCTGAAAATACAGACGCAGACGGGATGTATCTACCCTATAACCAGGTACTAGTTGCAACTATGACACCTTAGAAAGATGGAATGGATGGAGACCAGTCCAGTTCAGCTACTGCTGACCAGACTTGACTTACCTTCCTTGATCCTTACGTACAGCGGGGGGGACGCCAGTCGCCATCCATCCAATCCCACCCCGACGGACAAGTCCAGCTGCAGCCGCGACTTGAAGCGACCCGACCGGGGGAAAGCCTGCTCTTTGCCTGCTGGCCTTGCTGACCTTGCTGGCTTGTTCTGCCTGAGGGTCGAATCCGTCGACTCGCGCGACCCAGATCCAGAAACTCAAATGATTAGTACACAGTTTCTAGTTAGTTAGTATCCTGCGAGAAGGCCCAAAAGCGGGCGGGGAGGGGCGGTCAAGACCAGTTGACTCTTTCGAGGGAAGATGTGGCGGAAAAAAGATCTAACTGATTATCCCTAATCATTTCTTTTTTTTTTATTTTCCTTTCGGTTTTCACTCTTTCACCGGCCGGAGCTGGCTGCATAGCGCCCACTTTTTTACTTTTTTTGGTCAGGTCACTCACTCACTCTGCGTCTGAAACTCGGGCTCTGGAACGGAGGAGAGGAGGGAGGGAGGAGGGAGGGGAAGGGGCCACAGAAGGAAAAGGAAAGTGACGGGACGGGGGGAGCCAGTCAAAAGGCAGTCAGTGCCAGTTTAGTGGCAGATTGGCAGATGGACAGTCCCCCCATCCTCGTCGCAATTGGGTCATTTCTCTTGGAAGCTGCGTAGGCTATCAGGCTAGGCATCCACAGCTCGTCCCCTGGTTTGACCAATTATTGATGGCCGAGCGACCCGGTACTTGCTGTTTTCAGACTAGAAGGGTTCTGCAAAAAAAGTGCGCGACCCACTGGGCAACAGCAGATCTCCTTCTTCTCCCTCGGCTGAGACCAGTCATCGCAAAGGTTGCTCTCAGCTTATCGCCCCACTTTGCCCCCCCTTCCTCTTGTTGCTGCTGTTGCTGCTGTTGCTGTTGCTGTTGCTGTTGCTGTTATGTTAGTAGTCTAGTAGCTGTTGTGGTGGTAATGATGGTGGGCGACCTTCTGGTTGGCGTTGCATGGGTGACTTTTTACTATCTCACTCCCCGTCCATGGATCGACCGAGTCTTTTGGGACAAAAAGGGGGGGTTGGTGTTGTTGTGGTAAAGGAGAGAAAGAGTCAAGTGTCTGGTGATCCGGAATGTTGGATTGATCCAAAGCAATCCCTATTCTAAATACCGAGTATGCTGGGGTAGTACACACGCATACACAACAACACACCGGACGGAGGAGAGGAAAACTGAAGCTCCTCCAAGTCCTCCTCCGCCTTCTCCCTTCTTCCCTTCCCCCCTCCGGACCTCCGAAGTCCCGGTTATTTGGGAGGGATTGTTTATTGCAGGAGATGAGAGGCCGCTTTAGTCTCGGGTCTAGCTCGCAAGCTGCTTCCTTCTCACGAGACCCTGGTGGATCAAACACACGCCGATTCCTACTCGGATGGGGAGCGCCTGTTTATGATTTATGACTGCTCATCTCGCTCATCCCCTTGGCTGTGGAGTGGTTTCGGTGGTTTTTCTGTTCTCCACATCTCGAGCTTTTTGAACGTGTCGCATCATCATGACAGCCTATACCCTTTGTAACCGTAATATTACCAGAGCCTCCTCCGGTGCCATGATACCGTCCGGCCCGGGGCGCAGCTTGCTCTCTTTGCCTCTCTCGCGCATCTTCTCCAGCTTCTCTCCTGTTGTCTAGACTCTTGTCACCAAATTTAGGAGCCGGCGGAACTGGTGACCATTAGCTGTTCTCTTCTCCCCCCCTTCTTCTCCCTCCGCTGCAAAAGTCCTACTCCGCATTGGCGGCGGACTCCGGTCGCAATGGAGCTCCCCTTCAGCCTGGTGGATACAGCTCTTTCCTCCACGCACATTGACGCCATCGACGCCCTTCGAGCCCTTTTCCTTTTGGCATCCTGCACGGTATGCACCGATATGTTGCCATCCCAAATTCGAGGCGGACGACGTTGCAAAGTGACCCTGCATCAACTAAACCCAGAATATCCCAACTAGATACTCTCCGTCAGCGTCCTGCCAGATTCGCTTCATTCACGCTTCATTCCTTATGGCGCTCGTACAACTTCGACGGTCGACTCGCAGTCCTCGCCCCCGGCGTCCTCGGACTCCTCCCCAGCCGCCCGCGCTCTTGACTACGCTGCCGCCTTGACAGTCCCTCACAGCTACTTCACGCAATTCTACATTGCCTCCGTTTTGGCCTCGGTCTTCTGGGCTGCGCAGCTACTGTGTCAAGGAGCCGTGTTCCAGGCCTTTGCAACGAGAATCAGTCCGGAACATATGCAACAGTCCATGTCCATACACCAAGTCTTCTTGTGCTGGGCGCTCATGCTCATTCAGGGTGCAAGGCGGCTATATGAGTGCAAGGCCTTCGCCAAGCCTTCAGCCTCGAGAATGTGGTTTGTTCACTGGCTCGTAGGCCTTGCATTTTACCTAGCAGTATCCGTTGCCTTATGGATCGAAGGAGCAGGTACCACTCTGACTGACAGGCTAAAATACCGAACCCCACTGATTGCATCTAGGAGCCCTGCTGTCTCATAAAGTGATTCTCGACGACCTCAAGGTTACAATAGCACCCTCTCTCCGCACCTTTGTCTGCATTCCTCTTTTCTTGATTGCATCAGGCGTCCAACACGACTGCCACCATTACCTCTTCTCTTTGAAGAAATATACCCTGCCCACTCATCCCATCTTTCGCAGGATCGTATGTCCACATTATACGGCAGAGTGTGTGATATATCTTTCGTTGGCTCTGCTGGGCGCGCCCAAGGGCGAGGTCGTAAACAAGTCGTTGTTGTCCGCTCTCGTATTTGTTGTTATCAACTTGGGCGTCACCGCTGCGAATACTAGGCATTGGTATATGCGAAAATTCGGCGAGGAGTCTGTGCGGGAAAGATCGAACATGATCCCTTGGGTTTACTAATTATGTAGCATGAGACCAGCGGGGAAATTGGCCTGAGACATGAGCCCCGGATGCGTCGCGTCACCGACTGCCGAGGAACTTCATCGTATTCCCGAGACTGGCAACTTTGAGCACATCTCGATAAGTCAAGCTTATCCTAGTCTCCCTCTCCAGCCAGCCGCACTCATATCTGTCTGGCTCCCGCAACAAATCCCAGTTGCAGATGGATTCTGCGCCAAGCCCTTCATCCCTGGTGGTCTCTGCAATTCCATGCAGAAAGTCGGTATAGATACTCTTCGTGGTAACGAGCAGGCTGCGCCTTTCCTGCAAAATCCTATACACCGGACGCCGGCCGTGTCCGCTCCCTTTGCCATCCTCGCTTCTCTCGTACAGATCTAGCACGATAGGAGCTCCCAGACTCACAGTAGCTACGAGCGGGTAGTAGGCAGCACCGTCTTCATGCGGCATTATGCCCTGTCCCGGGCGGTATTCATTTACCAGAACATGATTCGGGGCATGGTGCGGGGCGTCCGCGAAAAGACCCAAGGAGTCGAAGCGAGGGGTGATGATGGGTGAGACGAGCCAAGAGGGCAACGGGGAGGAGATGAGCGCGTTCGATTTTGTCAGGGCCGAAGGCCAGGTTTGAAGTCGCCGGTGAGCTAGATGAGTCCAGCGGGGTAACGGCGCAGTCGTTATCTATAGCCGGGGGTCCATGAGCGCCCAACATCCCCACAGGGCCTGAATGAACTTAGGCCACTGCACAGTAAAGCCACGGTAACTCACTCACCTTTCGGAGGAGAAACTCCTCTTCATCCTCCGAGATGAAATCCGCTATGTAGAATCCATCGTCCGGCAGTGATTTGATGCGGGCGGTCTCAAGATCGGCTCTCATTTGTTGGAGTCGATCCCGGGGAGCACACGGAGCAAATATCCCTGTTGTTCAATGGGGGGGTCGGATGACGACTGGGAGGAGATTAATCTATCAGAACGAGTCCGTTGAGTTGGTTACACGGTAAGCCGGGCGATCAGACAGCCGGGGGGGGGGGGGTCACGGGGAAAGAAGGGGATCGTAGTGAAACTTACCAGGCGTTGAGCGTAGACCGGGAACCTAGACGGGATGAATGGTAAGAAGGGAAGTGGTGATGCCGATGAATGGCATGTCGTCACGATGAGACGCAATGGCTGCCCACTTGGCCGAGCTGTGGTACGTAATCCGTAGCGTTAACTCCATCACAATGGATTGATGCCCAGTGACTGTTCAATTAGTCGTGTGGGTGATAAGAATAGAAGTCACTTTCCCCTCACCTGACATCTGCTGACAGCTCATGACTCGACAAAAAGCTTATCTATCAAGTATACTCCGGATCAAAGTTAAGTACTTCAATAATCAAAATAAACAATTCCTGAGCATCACATAAACATACACAAATATATATATATACCCATATGGATATAGATGAACCCCTCGTTCTACCATGATGCAAACAGTATGTTCAACCCAGTAGCCTGAAAACTCCCCACCCCGGACTAAGACATGGTCCTTTGGCATGACTATGAGCTTGGATTGATCGATCACTTCACGATCTATGTTAAATCATCCATCGTCCACAACTGAGGAACTCCGGCCTTCACGGTACTAATAAGGACGTAGCTCCGCGACTGACAGCTAAAGTGAACAACATACTTGGCTGATACTGTAGCTGAAACTGTTCTGATACACCAATTGAATTGAAAATTAAAACCACACTACGTTTGATTATGAGGACTATACCTTAAGGCTAAGGCCGAATCTGAGCCTGGGAGGTGTGGTGTATGCAGATACTCCATGCTTTGGCTCTTCGCCACAAGCTGCTATACAGTTTGACGCAGGACTTCCCTATTATTTTTCATCGTTTTCTCAATAATAGGCCCATTCTGGGACTATTTGGGAGCCGCCATATCTCAATGTTGCTGGTTCCTTGTTCTTGAGTACCAGCTTAACGGACTGATGAGGTTTCATACATAGATTGCTTTTTGCTTTATATTGATTCAAGTCATTCCATCTCTCTGTCAAAATATCCCCTTCTATCAACGATAAATACATAAACACCTGGCCTCTTGTTTTCAGTGCAGCCATATATATCATGAAAACATGAGCACGGTCATGGGACTCTTCGCGCAACATAATATGAGTCTGGACCTCGATTATGTTCACATTGGGGCCATATTTGGCTACTGGTCCCAAAGATGAAATTAAAGCAGGAGGAGGGTACTAGTTAAGTCCGTCTTATTAATATATTGAGAGCTCGAACGGCGTCTGGAAGAGACTGCTTTCAGGGAAGATGTTCATTTATCTATGATTCAGGGATGAAGTATATATAACTATAGATGTAAACGATTCAAGTTATGCATTCCAATCTAAATATGAAGAGATGTATAGAGGAGAACCTTACTATCTAGTTGTATCGGGAGATATACCAGATTCCATATCTGCCTCAGGCCACCACCCCACCATAATCAAGGCGGGGGGGATCTTTTGCTTCATATGCAAACAGCAACAGCAAACATCGTGCTTCCAACCACACCATCTTCCCCATCCTTAAGCACATACATAGCCTCTCTTTGAACCTCCTGCACAACCTTATCTGTACTCAAGGTACATAATAACATAACAAACCATGGCACCCAAGAACAAAGGCGGCGACAAGAAAGGCAAGGATGGCGGAGACAGCAACTCCAAAGGCGGCGGAAAGGGCCTCAAGCCTGCGAATGCTATTAACGTGAGGCATATTCTTGTATGTATACTCTTTTTCTCTCTCTCTTTTTACATCTTCATCTTTCTTTTGTTGTGCTGGGTTGTGTGGTTGTAGATGGTCATTTAGCTTTGTTTGGTGGTATGTAGTATTCTTCTACACCAAGTGGGATATACTACTACTACATCACTATCCTTTTATCTAGGAAGGAAGGAAGGATGAAGATCATGCATATAAAAAATTTCACATTACTGGATATGATAACTAACAACCGCAGTGCGAGAAATTCTCCAAAAAGGAAGAAGCCCTAGAGAAGTTGCGCAACGGAGCCAAGTTCGACGAAGTGGCCAGGGAGTTTTCGGAGGATAAGGCTAGGCAGGGTATGTTTTGTACTTTTCCTTCTTCTATTTCTATATATCATCCATTTCCCATCGGAGTGGCTATGTGTTGGTTAGCGCTAATGTTAGGGGAACTGGTACAGGCGGCTCCCTTGGGTGGAAGACTCGGGGCAGTCTGGATGCGACGTTCGAGAAGGCGGCGTATGATCTGGAGCCGAGTACGACGGGGAACCCCAAGTATGTGGATGTGAAGACTGGGTTTGGGTATCATATTATTATGGTTGAGGGGAGGAAGTAGATCATATATTAATAGTAGTATCTATTTTATTCACTATGGTTAGGGTTAGGTTAGGATTACTATGGATATTGCATGAAGAAATCAATCGACCAATCTATAAGTTTCAGATCAAGTCCGATAATGAAATTGTATGTACATAATGCAGAAAAGTAATACTATCTATCATGAGGCGAGTATATATCACCTACTGCTTCTTAGCAGCTTTCGCTCGCTCCTTGGCGGCCTTCTCCTGCCGTTGAACGATAGCTTCGGCACCAATACCACCAAAGACAAGGCCCACGCCCAACCACTGGCCCGCGGAGAGGGAGTGGCCGAACCAGAACACACTCAAGAGCATGGTCAGCATCTTGCGCGTGACCGTCACCGTGACCAGGAGCAAGGATGAGAAGCGCGACAGCGTGTAGAAGATAAACAGCTGTCCGATGGCTCCGCAGGCAGCGAATCCGAGCACATTCTTCAGGGCTTCCGGGTGACGGGATAGGAAGCCAATGGCGGAGTTCAGCTCCGTCTCTGTGGATGGGGGAATCGGGAACGGGAGGAGGTTGTGCAGAATGCCGGTAGATGACAGATGGGGCATGATCAACAGGTAGCTGCTCGTCAGGACAGTCGAGAGGACATTCTGGGCAACCATCATTTGCGGCCCCGTGAAGCGCGTGTACAGCTGCGGAGAGCTGAAGACGTGGTCCTGGGTGGTGTTCGTGAGGCCGTCCAGGAGCAGGTTGATGGAGAGGAGGAAGATTCCCCATGTGCTCGAGCCCGACTGGCCCTTAGCGGCTGATGCGGCGACCTTCTTGCTAGTACCGGGGTGGTGGAGGGTGAATGTGGCGACTCCGAGTGTGACCAGGAGGACGACACCGTACTTGTACAGGGGGTATCTCTTGCGGAAAATGGTCAGGTGGAGGAACATGACGGGCAGGAGCTTGCACGATTTGGCGAGGATGAAGGTGAGGTAATCGATGTGCGCGAGACTGGCATATCCGAAAGGTGATGCGAGAGACGAAGAGATGCTGACCAGGAGCAAGGGGAAGACGATTTTCTTGGTTGGGAAGGGAGAGGGGATCTTCTGGCCGGACGGAGTCGAAAAGAACAGGTACAGGAAGCCGGTGATGGCGGCAAAGGTCGACTGGATCGTGTTCAGGACAATCGAGTAGGTGAAGCGCTCTGTCGGAGGTTCGGGGACTTCAGCAGTCGGAGGATGAGTAGGATAGGACACTGTGGTGATGGCTTCTTGAAGCACACCCCATGACAGACTAAGAACTCGCAGTCAGCATTTTGATGACTTCGGAAATCTCTCGACACCACGAACGGAAGACATACAATGAAGCGTAGATTCCCAGTACACAGATCGCAAGCTGCATCAAACCGGGAGTCTCCGGCGCATTTTCCTGCGCCGCATGCTTTCCGGACACACTTCCATTTGCGACGGAAGATTTCCCATTTATCTTCTTGTCTGGCGACTGCGAATCTTCCGAAAGCACATGCATCAGTTCAGAGGACGTGGCGCGTTGCAAAGGCGCAGCTTGTTTCTGGCGCGCCATGATCGACGACGAAGAAAACACCGCTTATACTTCGTCCAGATTATTTGCAGAACGGTAAAGAGAACAAGGACAAATGTATAATCAGGACGGGATCGCCAAGCACTGACGGGTGTAAAGAAGGTATGTGAGAATAGACAGACAGTCAAACAAAGCCTTGATGGAGCAGACACTCGACTTTATAGTCGACCAAAGAAAACGATGATGCCATGTGTTCTTCTGCGCGTCTCCAAAACCGCCGCGGAATCTCGGCGCGATCGCCCTTTTTTTCTTTCCTCCGCCCCGCCGAGTCTCATTCTTCGGTCTCACTTTTCGACCCTTTAATCTAATTCTAGAACTTCAATCGCGAACTATAGTTCCTGTCTATCCACCAGTCGCAGGTAGGGTCTAATTCATCTATCCTCCTTGAACTATAATCACAAGCGCATACAACAAACTTACCAAATCCGAATTTCTAGACTACATTCCCCTACACCTCCAATTCCGCCTCGACTCTACCATCTACAACCACAACCATGACTTCCACAATCCCACCAGCACCACCATCCCAACAACAACAACAACCACTCAATCCAACAACGACTGAAATAATAACACCCCTGCCCCCCTCCGCCCTCACAACCCTCCTCTCCACCACAACCACAACACCACCCACCCCCCTCTCCGCAAACACAATCCAAATCCTCCACAACCTCCAACACCAACACCTTTGGACCTCCCTGCGCGTCCACGACCTCCACCTCCCCAGCAAATCCACCACCGGACCTGAACAATCCCTCTACCTCATCTCCGGCATTCCCCCGCACCACCTCTACATCCACCCGGACGAGCAGCTGTTTATGCTGGAGCGCGGACTGCGCGAAGACGACGTCGAGCTCGAGCGCATGTTCGTCCTGCCCACGGTGCAGGGCGAGTCATGGACGCTACGCAAGTTGGCGGGGGTGTTTGATTCGTTGCCTGAGGGTAGCGAGGAAGTACTGGAAGGAGGGGGTGAGAAGGCGGAGAAGTTGAGGGAATATTATGAGTATCGGGGGAAGGCGAGGGCTACGAAGGAGTGGGGTGGGAAGAGGTTGTTGTTGGCTATGGTGGATAGGAGGATGGGGGGTGATGGGACAGTGGTGTATTATGTTGTGCAGGATGGTGCGGTGAAGCCGAGACAGAATTAATATATGATTGGAGAGAGGAAATGGGGTTATACATGGGCTACGGGTGCGAAGAGAAGGCATATGCTGCTGAGCGTACAGCAAGAAGCAAGCAATTCCTTGCAATTTCTCTTTACACCGAAGAAGATCGAATTATATACACGGATGACAGACAGCAACAAGAGACGAACCGGACCAAGTACCTCTCAGAGGCATTCGACGAAACGGACAGATGAGCAACTGCAGCCGGGTATCGTGGGAACAAGCAAGTAACGGGGACAGACAAAACAGCCATGCATCCTCAGCCATGTTGTGAAAGAAAAGAGCAACTCATGGCGCACCTAAGGGACGTTCATCCTCAATTTGGGCGTGTTCCGCCTGGCAACTAGTGCAGTACGTTTCGTACCATTGCTGAACATCATCGGTGAGTTCAGCAAACACACTCTGCCCTGAGCGGTCCACCTCGAGGTCTACGTCTTCATTTCCTTCATTCTTGCCGAGAAGAATCTGGATTTGGCGACAGCGTCGCAGTTCCTGTCGCAACCATCGCTCCCACTCGCTTTGGATCACTTCTCTTTCGATGCTGTTGACCACGCGGAGAGCTACCAGGAGATCGTGTCGGTATGAAGCCAACCGTTCGCGCGTTTGCTGAATTCGTCGGGCTGCACTCCTGGTCATGGAGTCCCGGAATCCTGATGTTCCCAGAGATATTGTGTTTCCTGGGCTGCGTACGGTCTGCTGGTGGAAGGTCGCGAAGCAATCACTCACATTTTCACTGCCGTGGCCAATGGTTGTATTGGCGATTGCGTCATCGATATCTCTCATGTAAATAGCTTTGGTCATGACATTGTCGGGGCTAACTCCGATGCGGGCCATGAAGTTCCCAACAGTCCTGTCATGCCACCATTCGTACGCATCGCGGGACGAATAGAACCCATTGATCAACATACTCGACAATAGCAAGACGAGAATGACTTTGTTCGCATGTGTGGTCTTCCATACCCAACGTAGAAAAGCGAACGTCCACATCATCAGGTCAGAGATTATGCTCTCTGTCAATGATGCAAACGTCTCAAAGAGGAGCTTTGGCAGGGACCTCTGAATGCGGGGATTGCGCAGCTTCAATTGTAGGTCGGTCTGTGGCGAGAACTGGGAAGAAAAGCTCTGGCGTCCAATGTGTCCGAAAATCGTAATGGCCTTCTTGGTTCGACTATGCGCGCCTAGCCTGCGGACCTGGTCGCCTACCAGGTCAACGAGATCTAACGCGTCTTGCTCCAGATCATTGGTGGCACTTTTGTCAATTATATCTAGAATGTCTTAGCAAGCACTGATAACTCTCCTAGGGGCAAGGACTTACGCTGAAGGCCGTAAGGAGACCACAGCCACTCCACTTTAGTATAGATAGAGAGCTTGCACTTTCCCTTTGCGACAAATGTGATCACAACCTTGCTGACCAACCTGAAAGATCTTTTGAAAGGAAGATGCCAAGGTGTCCGTTTGTCTGTAATCACATAGCAGAGATGATCATTTAAGACGTCAATCATCTGATAATCCGAGATTTCCTTGGTATGAGTACGTCCTACACCGAATTAGCGAGAACCGAACATGGAATGCTAGGTTACCCAACGTACCAAGGGCATCAGCCGTCTCAATTTCGTAATGAAAATCCCGTTTCAGGTGGTTGGACTCTTGTCTGACCCAAGGCCCTTGTTTGATACCTGTAGTCCTTTAGCAAGGGCCAGCCTTAGCTCCGGAGCTTGACTTACCCTTAGCTCTCCGTTGATGAAGGAGAAGCTGCCAAACGGCGCTCTTGTCTCCGAACAGGATATGGAAAACCGCTTTAGCACTTGTATCAAAAACCTTTTCAGCCGCCAGATGAAGATCTCCTTGTGGCACATATTGAACAGGCTGCGTTGGCAGTCTGAACTTGGGAGTATCTTTGCCATTTCCATTCTTCTTATGCATGTCCAAGTCGTTATCAATGTAGACACCAACATCTTTCTTCGGGGGTTCCGTGCCACTTTCCCCTCCTTCAACATTGTCATCTCCAGCAGCCACATCCTCCCAGCTATCAAGGCTAGGAGTCCGCGTTAGTGCTTCACTCTCCATCCGGTTCAGTGTCTTGAATGTTGCTTCCAGGCCCAGTGGCTCGGCGGCAGTGGAATTATGAATCAAAAAGTTAAGCCGCCGTTGAAGAAGTCGCAATGGCTCAAGGAAAGTCTTAACAGTTCCACGACCAGGAGTATCGTCTCCTGGAGGAGGGATCATATGAAGGTACAAAAAGTCGCAGTCCCTTCCTGGGGCAGCAGTAACTTCTTTAATACTCTCCAATGAAATACACGTCGTGAGTACTAGCCCGAAGTGGTGGCTGTAGAAGTAAATATTTTGGGTCGTAACGTAGGCCCTTCCGGGGAAATCTTGCTGATCGTTGGGATTCCAGGTAGCACGGAACACCATAACCAGAGGTTCATCTTTTCTGATGTCAGGAAATAGTAGCCGGAACTGCGCATCCTGAATCTTAAGTTGCTGCGGGTAGTAACTGGGATAATCGTGCGCATCGCCAAGCAATGCCCGCTGCATCTTGGACGAGTCTCCGTCAAGGCTCACCGTCTGCCTGTGACGTGGCCCAGACTTCGGCGGCTTAATCCCTGGAGACCCACTAGACGTATCAGCTTCGGCTGTCAGGAATTGCTTAGATGGATCATTCGCTGGCGAGCCCGGCTTGTCTGAGGGGCCTGAGTCCTGCTCGCCAGGTAGTCCTATGCGTTCACGTTCAATCCGATTCATGAAGCCCCAGTTTGAACTACCCCACAAATTAGCCATCATGCCACTCGGCATTCCTCCTGTTTTGTCGGCTTGCCCCAGTCCTATACCCCTTTCATGGCTTACGATCACAGCCGCCTTGCTCATGGTTGTTGGAGCAGGTGGATTGGCCAAGGTCCCTGGAGCAAGAGTCGAGGGAGAATCGTTGCCAAATGTCGAGCTACGAGTCCTAGTCCCATCAATGTCGAGGGGTAAAGGAGGGCTGCCCGGTCCAAGAGCACTGTGACTGGCAGAGATCAAGCTTGCTATGCCACCTCCGGCACCCGGCAACGAAGTGGATGGCGCCACTGCATTGTTTGATTTGCGGTGAAGGTCCAGCTTCTGCATTATACGCGATGCGTGTTCGCGTGCGGAGCTTTCGGAATCCAGCGTCGTCAACCTCCTATAACTGCTGAGATCGCTACTGTTCCTCATGGCGGAAGGGTCTCTTTCAGGTAGGGCAAGCATCCCGCTGCGATCTGCAGAGCTCTGCTCGTCACTGACACGGGGAGTGAGCGAATCAGAAGGATCGGCAGCAAACTCGGGAGCTGGGGGCTGAGAGATTGCGAAAGCAGGATCCTGAACAGTAACTTTGCCGGACACTGAGAGATCAGTGCTAGCCGGGTTCTCCAAAGCCTTTCGCTTGGCGGCCTCGAAGGCAGCAATCCAATCCATGAGTTCTTTCTGAGTCTCAGCCTGAAGCATGACAGTATTACTCTTGGTTTTGACTTCGAAGCAAAACCTGCGCTCTTCTTGAAAGGCAGCCCGAACACTGCAGAGAAGAACGCCTATCCGTTCGCTCTCTTCAACGCCACCTGTTCGCGAGCCCTGGACAAGGCAGCCGAAAATACCGTGCTTCAAGAATGCCCATCGTCTAACCCAGATAGTCCGGGTAGGCTTCCCGGAAAGAGTTCGCAAGAAAACCCATCCTTGCTTCTCAGGTCTAGCCTCCTTGCTCATGCTGGTTGTCGACAGGGGCCGAGAACCGAGGTAGGGAACAGTGGACAAAGAGTAATCTTCTAGTTCTCGAGATGGCCTAGCTGCATTCTCTGCTGCTTCTTCGATCTGCTTCCTCGAATTCAAAAGCTCCCGCTTGGAAGATCGCTCACCCCCTTCCATTTCGTGAGCCCAGCCTTTGATACGGTCCATCTCTTGACCCCATTTCGCGAATGCCGCACCATTGCTGTTGTGGAATATCTTAAGCTCCCGCCACTGATCATAAGAAACCCGGACTAGCAGTCGGTCAAGCGAGTTGCGCAATTGGGGGGCCTGTATCGAGTAGTCCATTGACGCTTTGAGGTAAGCTTTGCGAGCTTCATGGAGTTGAAACGCATCTTCCCTTAATGAAGAAGGCTCCTTTGACTTCGATTGCGATGAGTATCGGGCCAACAGGTAGTCGTATTGTTTCTGTGTCTGCTCGAGGTTGCGACGGATCTCCTATAGCGGGGTAAGAGCCAGATTCGCATGAATTTCAGGGGCAACCAGTCAAGTACCTTGAAAGTCCGCAAATCTTCATGCATGAAGGCCCGGATTGGCTCAGCAATGAGATTTTCCATCTTTTTGACAGTAGATATCAGCCCATTCCACATATCTCTGGTGCTGTCCCCACACCTCCTCATCGACTGCAGCGTGTAATCATGATCAAGGACAGCTTCGGAGACCAGTAGGGGGTTCGTAGAATAAGACAGGAAGATGTTCGCCGCGCTTTCCATTGCCGCAAGCTCTGAGGAGAGCTTGGAAGCGGCCCTCGCATAGCCGTCGAGCCATCTTTCAAGGAATTCGATCTGGTCGGAGAAGTGAAGGGTGGTGGCTCGGAATGTGGGCGAGTCGAGAGCAGCCTCCTTTAGACCAACTGGACTTCACCGGAACAGTTAGAAAGGAACCTATGAAGCGATTTAGAGAAGCAGAGCTGATTCAGAGGACTTACACGACGCTGACGAGCTTCCCGACCTGGGGTAATGGGATCTGCGGCTGAGTCGACATCTAGTGTATGTCACCAGCCATACACTTGATGCGAGCAAAAGTAGCGGCAAGACAAGGCAGCAATGAGGCCCCTAGTCAAGTCAAAGAATTATAGTTGATATGAAGCATCCGAAAATCTCAGGGATACAGGTGAAGGTGGGAAAGTAGCATGGTTAGTGGAGGAAGCTTACTAGGAGACACAGCGCCTCTTGCTCGAGCCATCGGCGGATACAGGCCCGCGCATGATCTAATTGGCTACGTCAGTGGTTCGCTTTGACGGCCTTGGGTCCCCAGGCAACAAAGGGCCCTGTAGGGCGGTGAGCCCCGCCGACTTTTTTTTCTGCCGGCAACCGCTATTATTTTCTTTTGGGAGGCGCATTTGGTCGGAGATAACCTCCTTCATCGATCGCTTTTCACATACCAGTGGTCTCCCGACAGCTGTGTCTGTTATTTCGAAATGGAGCCCCCAGCCAAGAGGTCGCGCAAGCTGCTCGATGACGACAGCTCCAGCGACTCAGGAGACGAGTCCGGCGGAGTTCCCATCACCAACGAGGACGTTACGTTCAAGATCAACGAAGAGTATGCGCGCCGCTTCGAATACAACAAGAAGAGAGAAGAAAAGCAGCAATGTAAGTTTCTATGCATCTACAATCTGCATGCGAGGAGAAACTAATCTCTGTCCTACAATAGTGGAG